ACAGTGAAAGAAAGGATCATGATGCCATGAGACTGTGCTAGAGAAACTACCTAACCCAGGAGTTACTTGAAATTATAATTAACCTATGGCTTAGAGGCAAAGAAAGAGCTTAAGAGTGTTTTAAATAGAGGGAAATAACATGTGCAAGAAGCTGTCAGTGGAATGAGGTATTTAGGGGACCACAAGGAGTGTGGCTGAGCACAAAGGATGTATGTGCAAGATGAATCTGCAGAGACCAAGAGAGGCATATATGTAGGTATTTGTTTTAGTATTGACAGTAGAATTCCTTAATATATGGAGGGAGTAAATGAAGTGTTGCAAGTAAGAGTGGCAGAGTTTATGTGATTGCAGAACGCTTTTTGTTCTGCCATGTTCTTCTCAGTTCTCTGTTGTGGAATTAGAACTTTTTTCTAGACAGTGTTGGGAAATATTTAGGGAGCAAAATGAGAGTTTCTATTGGGTTATATTTAGACGACAAGAGCGCTATTTACTAGGATGAAGACTGACCAAAACATGAGTTTTAGAGATGGAACCCCCTATTCTACTTTGGGTTGTTCAGTTACGGCTTCAGAAAAACAGTTATAAATACCATTTTGGGGTTTGGGTTAGAAATAAGATTTTTCCTTTTGCTAAGTGAATAAAGCTAATTTTATATTTGCATACAATCTTTGAGATCCTATCACATGCTTTTTATTCACAATTCAATCACATTCTCTGAAAGATGTTTTATTTTTGTAGATGATCTAAAGCTGTTGGTCTATGAAAGAGATCGATTCAGGAATTTTATTCTCGTTTTTTGTTTTGTTTTTAAGATTTATTTATTTTTATTTTATGCACATGGATATGTTTGTCTGTATACATGTCTGTACACAGTCTGCATACAATCAGTGCCTGTGGAGGCAAGAAAAATAGTGTTGGGTCCCTTGGAACTTGAGTTACAGATGGGTGTGGAGCATGATGTGGGTGCTGGGAAGCAAACCCAGCTCGTCTGCCAAAGCAACAAATGTTCTTAACCACTGAGCAGTCTCTCCAGTCTCAATTTTTAAAATGCAGGATCACTACTTACAATTTTAGAGTTCATCATGAGGACTACCAATCAATGTTTGTTACATCTACATTTCAGGAAACCAATTTTCCTTACCTACATCTTCTCTTTCCTGTGTCCTTTGGCTCAGGTCTTGAAGAAAGACTTTTACTTGGAGGCCTGCTCCCCTGCTGCTCTGTGGGAGGCGGAGTGGTTAGAGAAGAAACTATTGATAGCAAAGTGGTTGAACTGTAGTAGGCTTTAGATGTGGATATCCTGGGAGTTTGAAGTTGATTCATGTTTCTGGAGGTTTATGTGTTGAGCAGTTTTCAAGCCATCTAGAAACAAACACAGGTCCTCTATATGTAGTCTCTTCTCATGCCTACTTGTTCAGGGACCTACTTAGACTAAGAGCTGCTGTTCCCAGGGATTTCCAGGCATCACATGAAGAACTGAAGAGTTATAATCTTTAATGGTCGCCTTAGAAATTGAAGGCTTGTGCAAATATGAGTGCTATTATAGACAAAAGGTCAGAGGAAGTGTTGGTACTGGACTAGAGCGGAGAGAGTAGGCACGTTTTCTGCTACTTTTGCCTTTTCTTTTAACTTTTATTTTTTTATAATTCAGTTGTTATCTGCCTCCTGGTCCGCCCTCCAACAAACAGTTCTTCATTCCATTCTTCCTCCTTCCTGTCCCCAAGAGGATACCCCTCACCCTTCCCCCTTCTCCCCAGGCCTCCTTACTCCCTGGGGCCTAGTCTCTAGTCTCTTCAGGGTTAGGCACATCTTCTCTCACTGAGGCCAGACCAAGCAGTCCTCTGCTGTATATGTGTCAGGGGCATCAGACCAACTAGTGTGTGGTGCCTGGTTGGTGGCTTAGTATCTGAGAGATTTCAGGGGTCTGGGTTAGTTGAGACTGCTGGTCTTCCTGTAGGATTACCTTCCTCCTCAGCTTCTTCTAGCCTTTCCCTAGTTCAACCACAGGGGTTTCTGACTTCAGTCCATTGGTTGGGTGTAAGTATCTGCATCTGTCTCAGTCAGCTGCTTGTTGGACCTCTCAAGAGGACAGCCATGCTAGGCTGCTGTCTGTAAATGATAACTTACGGATGGATACTCTTGCCTTTAAAGAAATGGGCCTTGTCTTAGAATGATTTGGTGCTTTTTATATTTTCACACTCTTTCCCAGAACTTGTATCTTTCTGTTTAGAGAAGCTGAAAAGGTGTAAGAGTGCAGGTCCCAAAGGACAGTGACAACGTGTCCTAGTCATTACTTAGCTCTGTATATGACTGTGTGTAGAGAGTGGGGAGTAATGAGAAGGGTAGGGCATGAAGGGAATGAAGGAACCCCCTTCCGAACTTCACTGGACTCTCAGCTGAGGGTCCTCGCATCTCTTCCAGTGATCGTGTGTGCTTGGCAGAGGCTGGCTGTCATACTGAGAAAAGAAGGTTCGGAGAGGTGATATGGTGATATGTGTTTATTGTCATCCTGCTAATGCAGATACTACAGGCCTCACTGATCGCATAGTCAGAGAGATGTCCTTGGTTAGTGTGTTTTGTCTTGCTAAAAGGGCTATAGAGACTAAAGTGATAAGGAGACTATCGCTGAGTAAGTTTTGGAAATGTGTTAGACATTTCTTTCACAAAGCTCAGGCCCTGTAAAATGATCTTGATTCATTGAGAAGCTCTGAAAAGACAGGTGGGATATATTGTGGCCCGTATTCCATGCCATCCACTTCAGTGTTATCTCTAGATTAGTGTATAATGTCTGTTTGCAGAGGTTTGCTGGTGGGGGAAGATGGTTTACAGTTTTGCCTGTGAGCCTTTGCAAACACAGTGGGCTTCTGAGTGTTACTCAGCAGTTAGTGAGGCAGTTGCTGTGCTGGAAGCTGTCACTGAGCTTAGTGGTTACATACTGTGTCCAATAAGTTTGCCCACCCATCCTTTACAAGCCAACTAAAAGCCTATTTAATAACGAAAAGTAGAAAAAGGAGATTTATTCAATGTGGCCACATTACAAAGGACTTGAGGGAGTTGTCACTGGATCACTATGTTTGTCTAAGTTAGCTCCTTATTGAGGTCAGGTGGCTTGTTAAGGCATAGAATGTTAGCCCCTGACTTCCTTCTTGAGACTCTAGTACTTGTCAGAAGATAGAAACTGCCCTTGAAAGAACCACTAGGCCCTCTGCTTTTCTGTGTGTATGCCTGTGCTTGCATAGAGTAAATTGGGGAGACTCTTAGCAGAAAGTGGCAGAATACCCAACTGGGAGAAACTCCACAGAGTCTGAAATCTGGGGCAGGTAGTTGAGGACTCCAGCAGAATCTCCCTTTCTCTTCTCTTTGGTCCATGGTGGCAGTTTGTTCTTATGCTGATTGTCTCATGGTTGTAGCTGTTTGAAGAGAAGAATGAATAGATGGGTCAGTTTGGACTTAGCAGGCAGAAGGCATTTTTTTTTCAGCTGACTTTGTCCATTTCTTAATCCACAGAGAAAAGTATTTCCTGATAGACCCCCTTTTTCTTATTTATTAATTAGGGTTATGTGACTACCTGGAGCTTTCGACATTGGGGAAGATTTGATTGGCATAGATGGATTATGATGTGTTATATTGGGCAGGTACAGTTCTCTTTTATTTTTGGTAAAGTAGCATTGTACTTTGTGTGTGTTTGTGTATGTCTGTCTGTCTGTCTGTCTGTCTGTCTGTCTGTCTGTGTCTGTCTGTCTTCTGTCCTCTGTCTAACCATATGTTGAAGGACATCTGAATTTTTCAAGTTTGTGCTTATAATGAATAAAGCTGGTATAAATATTTGAATAGACTTTTCTTCTAGTTTAAAAATTACAGTGAAGCCGGGCGGTGGTGGCACACGCCTTTAATCCCAGCACTTGGGAGGCAGAGGCAGGCAGATTTCTGAGTTCGAGGCCAGCCTGGTCTACAGAGTGAGTTCCAGGACAGCCAGGGCTACACAGAGAAACCCTGTCTCGAAAAAGCCAAAAAAAAAAAAAAAAAAATTACAGTGACGGCTATCTAACACTTTATCCTGTTAGCTGCCTTGAAGTACAGTGGCACTAGGTACATCCATATTGTTATACAGCCGTCAGTTTCCTTCATCTCTCAGCCTCTTTGTATGCTGTAACAGAAACTCTGCACCCATAAAACAATGACTTTATCACCCCTACTGCAGTCTCTGGATACCAGCATTTTACTTTGCAGCTCTGTAGCTTTGCCTTTTCTACAGACCTCACATGAGTGGAATAGCATTTGCCTTTCTGTGACAGGCAGTTAGGAGTGGGGAAACATAATCAGATTTTTCAAAACCTGATGAACTGAAATCTGAAACACTTGTGCTCTCAGTTATTTAGGATAAGAAACACTGTATTCATCACTAACTAAATTAGAACTTTTATTTGTAAAAAAGCTGAAGAGAGTTTTAATTAGTCTTCATCAGTTGGGAATCATTGCATTATTAAATCCTGGCCATTTGCAAAGTATATGCTGTATACTTTTCAGCAGTATATGCTGTACTAAATAAATGAAAGTTTTCTATCTCTAATTTTCCCTGTCTCTTCCCTTGGTCCTAGGTTCACGTTTTTGTCTCCTCTCTGCTGTTCAACACCACTCATTTACTTTCTTTTCCCTTTCACAGTCCCTCTTGTTCTCCTTGACCTCATCCCTCTTTCCAGGGATCCCTTCAAGTTACAGGTTATAGTTTTTCAGTTCTCTGTTGTGGAATTAAAACTTTCTTGTAGGCTTCCTCTTTCCATGTAAAATATTTACTCAGCATGTAGAGTACACTTTCCTTCTCATACCACCTTATATTTATCCTGTGTGCACAGATGACCTTCTGTCACCGGTAATTTCTATCTTTTAATGTGGGGAACTAGAAAACAAACATTAGAGTTTAGTAGGAGAATTTTAGGGTGTTGAGTACTACTCTGACCTTTTTTTTTTTTTTTCTAATTTAATTTATTTTTATTTCCCAGGGAAGAAGAAGAGCGTCTGAGAAATAAGATTAGAGCCGATCATGAGAAAGCCCTGGAAGAAGCAAAAGAAAAATTAAGAAAGTCAAGAGAGGAAATCCGTGCAGAAATTCAGACAGAGAAAAATAAAGTAGCCCAAGCAATGAAGACAAAAGAGACCAGGGTACTGCCACCCGTCCCTGTCCCACAGCGTGTAGGGGTCAGCGGTGGGGATCCAGAAGACACAGAGATCAGGAAGAAAAGAGACAAAATTAAAGAGGTAATAAGCCGAGGTTGGTGATCTGGAGATATGCAGATCCGTGTCTGACTGGACAGTCCGTGATGTTGTATGTGCATCTACATGTTCTTCAGTGTAGTTGTAATTCAGACTCCAGGCTCACAGTAAGGATTTGAGCACTGTCTTTTTCTTTATTGATCATAATGTAAGTTTTTGAAATTAAAAATTTGATTCAAGTTTGTTTAGATGGTTAGATGGTTTTACCATATTAGAGATCTTTTGAAGCACAGGGTTTTATAAAAGAGTAGAATCTGTATATAAGTTTATTGAATAAGCAATTTAAAATATTCAGTTTGAATGGGTTATACCACATGCTGTGCAGAGCCTTTCATAGATGAGATTTTAAGCAATTTGCTCTGTTTGAGCCATGTTTTAGGGAACTGTACTGCTATTAGGACCATATTCCTTCCAAAGATTCTTCATGGATTAAATGATAGAAAAAGGTTGATCTCAAAGGTCTTTAAATTTATTTAGCCCCAATCAAGTTATAATTCTAGGTATAACAGATTAAGAGAATACCAACTCTAGTGAGTTTAGTTAAAGTATGTTAATTGGGGTTCCTGATAATGTTGAGTAGAGTTTATAGTTACACTGCTTGAGAAGAAGCTTTGTCAGGTGTAACAGCATCAACAAGAATAGATTTAATTTATACAGTCAGATATCTCTGTATATTCTGGTAATGGATATATATTTAATGTATTTTAAACTTGGTCTGTCAGTTTTTCTCACTGCCATGACATTTTTGACAGGAGCTACAAAAGGAAGGAAAGGAGGGAGGGAAGGAGGGGAGGGGGAGGGTAGGGAGGGGAAGGGTAGGTAGGTGGGCTTATTTTTGCTCACAGTTCGAGAGACGTTGTTGTGCCAGGGAAGGTGAGGTGGCTATTCATGTTGCACCTGCAGTCAGGAAGCAAGAGAGTGGTGAATCCTGTACTCAGCTGGCTTCTGCCCTTTCCTCCCTTTCTCCCCCAGTTTCAACCAAATGGGAGGGATGGTGCCACCTACTTTCAGGGTTGGTCTCCCCTCCTCAGTGAAGCCTCCTGGAAACATCCTCATTGACATAGCCAGAGTTGTTTCCTGAGTGGTTCCTTATCCTGTTCAGTTGGTGTTCCATCTTGATGGCTATCACACTTGGCCTTAGAATTGTAAACCTTGACCTTGATGAGTGAAGGTGGATGGACATTTTAATTTTTGCCTGTTCCTGGGGTCTGTTTTATACAATGGCTACTTAGTATACTTTTCTTGAGAGCATACTTTTTTTTTTGACAGCTTTTTGTTCAGATACCTTCTTTATCCATTTTCAGATGTCATAATGTTTTGAAATATTTTCTTACATATGTAATAATATAGATCAATAATCATGTGAATTTAAGGGAATCTAAGGCTCAGGCTGGGTGGTTGGCCAGGTTCCATAGAAGTTAGTTTAGCAATGCATTTGGGCTCAGCTTATCCTGTCCTTTACCAGGCTTACTTGGACTTATTGTTTCTAATGACTTTTTGTAAATAACTTCCGATTTCCCTTCTACATAATCATCCCTTTTTGAATAGTGGTACTTCCCTTTTTCCTTATTTCTGTTTCTTAGCTTACTGCACAGGCTAGACCTTCTGCTAACTATTTTTTGCAAGAAATGGTGAGAATCGACAGACTGTGTTAGCTGCTTACTCTAGAGCATAAGTGCTTAATACTCAACGGTTAGGCATGTTGAGTCAGTTCAGGTTTCTTCAGGGTAACCTCCTAGTTTGAAGATATTTATTTGTAATTACAGTTTAAGGGTTTGTATCATGAATGCATGTTGTTTCGTGAAATGCTTTGTCTATATTTTTGTTTAGATAATTGATTTTTTTTTTACTTTTTTTGTTAATGGTAAATTTTATTTACTTTTTTAAATGTTAAATTCACCTTATATATCTGGGTAAAACTGCATGAAGTCATGTTAACATATTTTCTTTATACAGTGCTAATTTGTTTTAGAAGAAATTTTGTCTGTATTGGTCTGGAGTTTTCTTTTAATGTTTTTGCCCAATTTTGGTATTTGATTATACTTGCTACATAAAGCAAGTTTTGAAGTGGTTTACTGAATGATATGTTGTTAAATGATATACTGCAGTTTACTGTTACATTAAATGTTGTTGTGTAGCTCAGAACTCCATAGGTTGTAAAAAACTCAGCTCATGCTAGCTGATACAGATTATTCATTAGTTTAATGGCTTCAAATGAGGGCATTAGACATGGCTGATTCTAAGTCTGTAATAATGCATTTGTCTTTGTCTCTTTTCTTTCATTACTTTGGTATTTCTTTGATGAGAGTTAGCCATTATCAGTTTTAGGATTAAATTATATAAACCCCTGAGATCCTATATGAGATAATCTTCTGCCTCCTACTGTTGAGACTAATATGAACACAAAGTACTTGATTATCCTTCTTGATCCATATACCCATCCCGTCACTATGACAAGAGCAAGGGTTGGCAGCTCAACACAGGTGGGCTAAAGCTTTTCATTGATTTAAAATTGATTTTAAAAATCAATTTTAGTTGGAATACAGATATGGCCACTTGGTTACATATTACCTAGGACTGTTTTGTGCTTTTGTAACACTTTAAATCTTCTGGTCTCTGGTCTAAAGGTAAGAGATTGTAGAGTCAGGCTGAATTAGTTGGTGGTAGAAGCAAGGCCTCTTGATTGACAGGCTAGTCATTAACACAGTGAAGAAAGAGGGCCTGTTCCTCAAAGTATTAGCACTTTATGAAAGGAAAGAATGCCAGATAGCTACCTCTCTTTCTTTAAATAACTTTCTGATTACATCTAGTGTTTTGTTGTGTAAATTAAAATTAAGTATAGTTGTTTTTGTTAAGGTTTCTGTTGCTGCAATGAAACACCATGACCAGCAAGCATGTTGGATAGGAAAGGAATTATTTGCCTTATACTTCCATATTACTCATCATCGAAGGAAGTCAGGACAGGAACTCAAACATGGCAGGGACCTGGAGTCAGGAGCTGATGCACAGGTCATGGAGGGGTGCTGCTTACTGACTTGCTTCTAAATGGCTTGCTCAGTCTGCTTTCTTATAGAACCCAGAACCACCATTCCAGAGATGGCACCATCTACAATGGGCTGGACTTCCCCATCCATCAGTCACTGGTTAAGAAACTGCTTTACAGCTGGGGAGGCATTTTCTCATTTGAGGTTTCTTCCCTTCAGATAATTCCAGCTTGTGTCTAGTTGACATCAGAGTAGTCAGCATAGTAGGTATGTGTGATTTATACTGAAACAAATGTTAATTGAATAATATGCTAATGTAGGAAACATGACAGAATGGATAAGAATATAATATCCCAACTCTAAATTATATGAAGTATAAAGTAGTTTGTGGATAGCTTCAAATGGTTAATAATTTTTCTCTTCTCAGATGATGAAACATGCCTGGGATAATTACAGAACGTACGGATGGGGACATAATGAGCTCAGGCCTATTGCAAGGAAAGGACATTCCACTAACATATTCGGTAAGCTAACTTTTTTGAATTACTTTTTTTCCCTTTATCTTTTAAAACAAAATCTGGCTTTTAAAAGTACTCTCCAAGTCTCTGTTTCTGTGTAGTTATAATATGAACTTTTTGTTTTGGTGTGTCAAGATTTAGTTCTCGTTGCACTGAAATACATAGCTTTGTGTTACACATAAGTGCTTCGAACATTTATCTTAGTATTTTGAAGGTTTTTTCTGCATTTTTTTTGTTGTTTAATGTCATGAAAGGTAGATATCTATTTGTAATTTTTTCCCCTTCAAGATAGTAAAGTACTACTAGTGATACTCATAAAGGAAAAGGGAATAGTTTAGAGAGTCCAGTGTGCTATTAGAAGTTTAATATGTAGCACACCAAAAGTGGTGCTATACATTGTGGTCCGTCTTTCCTGTGTATGTGTCTGTTTGTGTGTGTGTATGTGTGTTGGTAAAAAAAAGTCTTAAAAAATAAGTTGTCCTGCTGGGTGGTGGTGGTGGCGCACGCCTTTAATCCCAGCACTCGGGAGGCAGAAGCAGACAGATTTCCAACTTCAAGGACAGCCTGGTCTACAGAATGAGTTCCAGGATAGCCATGGCTACAAGGAGTAAGCATGTCACGAAAAACAAATAAAAAAAATTGTTCTGAATTTAAGAGTTGTGTTGGGAGAAGAAAAACATTTTGTAGCTAGTCATTGGCTACCATAATTTCATAATATATTTCATTAGCTGATATCTTTTAATGAAATAGAGTATATTTTCTCTGAAAAAGTGTTACAGATAGAAAGGTCCTGTTGCTTTTGTAGATGTCACAAATGATGGTCCACTTAAAGACACATAATAGAATTATATATTATACTTAAATTATCTTCCAGAGACTGTTCTTGAGCAGTGATAAGGCAATGAACCTTAGTTTTAAAGGATTTGAGGATAAATAAGTATAGAGAATAAGAGGTGGATGTGTATTTCCTTCATTAAATTAAAAAATGTGTGAGTGTGTGTGTGTGTGTGTGTGTGTGTGTGTGTATAGAAATACCTCCATCACTCCTCCCCAGCGTGGAGGTCAGTTCTGGTCTATTATGGAGCTCTAGAACTCAAAGCCAGGTTGCCAGGCTTGGTCAGGAAATGGAGCTTTGTCCCCAAGCCCTAATTTTTCACTTTACCCAGTTGTCTCATTTGTTACCCCAAATTTTATTATGACTTTGTAGAATTAAAATCATAGAGCAATCAGACAAACAGACAAACCAACAGACAAAAACCAAAACAGTTTTCTTAAATCCATCCTGTCACTATAGGTTGAGTGGACAAGTATTGAACTTTAACCTTCCCTCCCTCCCATCTGTCCATCCATCTGCCCATCCATCCATCCATCCATCCATCCATCCATCCATCCATCCATCCATTTATTTTTGAGAAAGGGTCTTACAATATACCTGGGTATTAGGCTTCAGCTCCTGCGTGCTGGGATTTAAAGGTGTATAACACAGGGGCTGGAAAGATGGCTGAACAGTTAAGAGCACTGGCTGCTCTTCCAGAGGTCTTCAGTTCAATTCCCAGCAACCACATGGTAGCTCACAACTATTTGTAATGGGATCTGATGCCCTGTCTTGGTGTGTCTGAAGACAGATACAGTGTACTCACATACATAAAATAAATAATAAATACTTATTTAAAAAAGAAAACAAGTATGCACCCACAACACCCAGCTATATATTTTTCTTGAACTATGTTTTTGCTTTGGTTTGGCAGCAGGCTGTTGCTGTTTTCAATATTAGTGGTGAAATACTTCGTTTTTCTGGAAGACAGTGTTGAAGATTCATTTTATTTTTTTCTGGATGCTTCATATAATTTTCCAGTGAAACTGTAAAACCCAGAGATGTTTTTAAAAAGGATTTTAAAATGTTAGTTTTTCTAATTATAAGGACTATTCCCTTTAACTGTTTCAACTTTGATAAGTTCTCTCTCCCTCCCCCATGTGTGTGTTTGTTTGCATTTACATACATATGTACATGCAGGCATACTCACACTGGGTATGGAGCTTAGGGCATTGACTACATTTAAGTACTCTTGCCCTGTCCCCAAAGTACAACCTTGTTTAATTGATTTGAAGTCTCTCTAATGTTAGTATTAAGTGCTATACATTTTCTGCTAACTGCTAAATTTAACTTTTGATATTTTTATGTTATATTTTCATTCAATTAAAATATACTTGAATCTATAATCCATATATTGATTTAAATATCTAAAATCTGAACAGTCCCATAATTTCAATATGTAGCCTGCCATTTGAGCCTGGCTATTTTTGTGACACTAGTGAGATCAGATGGTAGTTTTATTTTTATTAGTGAATTCATTTTCCGTCAGTAGTGCATAATATTTATGCATTGCTTTGTTTCCTTGTTTTATTGACATTTGTATAGAGTAGAACTGTTGGGCTTAGCATTGAAGTAGTGGTAATTTTATAGTGAGTGGCTCTTTGAATATTTGCTCATACATTTAATTAGATCATTGTCTTACTAATCTAAGATTTTGAAATTTATTGTGAAAATAAAGTAAGACTTTTAGAATTTAATCTTGTTGCTTTTTCATTTCCTATTTTGATTTTTTGTTTCCTTCCTTCTGAAAAACTAGGTTAGGAATAGATCTATTATATGATTCTTTTTATAGAACCATCCCTCAAATTAGTTCTTTTAACACTTTTCTTTGTTTCTAATGTATTCCTGCCTTTAGCTTTGGTAATCCAACTCTGTTGTTCATGCTTGTGGGTCCTTTTCCTTCTCAGTAGTGTTCATGCCTCTTTCGCTTATTCACATTAAATAGTAAAAATTTAAAGGTAGTATTTTTTCAGAACCTTTGACATTCTGATAGATAACACTCCTCTCCACCCTTTTGAGGCAGGATTTTCCTGTGTAGCCCTGGCTGTTGTAGAACTTGCTCTATAGATCAAGCTGTCCCTCAAACTCAGAGATCCCCCTGCCTCTGCCTCTTAAGTGCTGGGTGGGATTAAAACATGTGTCACCAGGCCTGGCTGTGTTACACATCTGTATTGTCATTTTCTGTTTCTTTACCCATAGGTAATTGCAGGTATTTTCTATTTTTCTCCAGATGAAATCTTATGTTATCTAGCCAAACAATGGTAGCAATGACCAGTAGTTTCATTTTTACTCATATGTTCCTTAGCTCTTCATTTCTGGTACAGGCCTAACCTGTGTAAGTAACTTGGATGGTGTGGAGCAGTGTATTATGTAGTATGCAATGTAGCCGAGGAAATGACTAATAACCAACCAGGCGGGAGCCTAGCTGCTGCAGTAAAGTGTGAAGAGCACACTGACACTTATCTGTTAGATAGATTCAAACAAATACATGAGTGGTAAAATGCCCCAGTAAAGCTTTTCTCTTAGTAAAAAAGCTGAGAATCAAGAAAAGTAAATGAAAATTTTATGTGTAATAATTCAACATGGATATTTTGGATGATACTGACATGAACTGAGTTTGGAGAAAACCAAGTAATGTTATCAGGATGTTGTATGCTTGTTTAATTAACAGAAAGATAGATTATTGATGAGGCGAAAGAATTATTAGGAACATTTGAACAAAAAGGTATGTAACTTAAGGACAAAGATCAAAGGTATTTATATATCTTTAAGTATATTTATGTATCACAAGTATATAGCTTTAAGCCATTGAGGGGGAAAATTAGTTTTACCCACATTCCCGAGAGAGAGAGAGAGAGAGAGAGAGAGAGAGAGAGAGAGAGAGAGAGAGAGAGAGAAAGAAAGAAAGAAAAAAAAAACCAGTAAGTTGTCCTGTTTTCTTGTCCTGTGTGCAGTGCCTATCTAAGTACACATTGGGTTTGCATCATTCAGTTAACTCCTTTTTATCTGCTTTCTGAAACTCTAAAGATTAGGATTGTCTGTTAGAGGTGGTGGCATCTTGTATTTTGAGTTTTCTCAATGCATATTTTGCTTCATCATTTCTTTTTCTTCTACCTGTTTTCCCTCCCTCCCTCCCTCCCTCCCTCCCTCCCTTCCTTCCTTATTAAAGAGTATTAACATAGTTGGGTATGGTGGTGCATGCTTTTAATCTCAGCACTTGAAAGGCAGAGGCAGGTGGATCTCTGAGTTTGAGGCTAGCCTGGTCTATAAAATGAGTTTCAGGACTACAAAGAGAAACTCTGTCTTGACAAACCACACCACACCCCACCCCACCACACCCCACCCCACACCATACCCCACCTTACCCCACACTACATACCACACAGCACCCCACACACCATCCCACATGACCCCACATCACACTCCACACCACCCCACACCATATACCACACAACACACCCCACCCTACAACTCACTCCACAACATATCACCCCATACCACCCCACCCCACACCAACTCACTTCACCCCACCCCACCCCACCCCATACACCCCACCCCGCAACCCACACCACAACCCACCACCCCACATATCACCCCATACCACACTACCCCACCCCACCTCATACACCACACCACACATCACACCACACATCACACCACATCCCACCACACCACACCACACCACACATCACACTACCCCACCCCACCACACCACACACCACACGAAAAAAAAGAGAGTAATAAAATTTATTATAATATTTAGTCTTCTGAATTTTTAAAAGATTTATTTTATTTATGAGTTTTATAAATGTATTATACATATATATCCCCCCTTCTATGAATTTGAACCAGAAAGGCATGACTTATATTATGACTTACCCTGTCATTTTGAGTGTCCCCTTTTCTTGAATCATTACCCTCCCCTTACATTTTTCATACTTACATTAAGTATATGCTCATATTCTGACGAAGGCAGAAAAGCACGGAGACTGTACTGTTAATTTTCATCTATTCTTCTATCTGCTCCCCAAGTCTTACCTTTTATAAACTCTATCAAACTGTCTCTATCACCTAGTCTAATAGAAAAGTGAGCAGTGACATTATGTAAAAGTAATCTTTGATTTACTCTTAATATATTCAAAATTAAAATAGAACTTATATGAAGAGGATTTTTTTCCAGAATTTTTAAATTGATTATTTTATTTATTTACATTTCAAATGTTGAACCCTTCCCAGTCTCCTCTCTGCAACCTCCCATCCAATTCCCTCCTCCCCTTTGCCCCTAAGAGTTTAGTACCCCACCCATCCACTCCTGCCTCACCTTTTTAGCATCCCCTTTCTCTGGGGCATCAAGCCTCCACAGGACCAAGCGCCTCTCTTTCCATTGATGCCAGATAAGGCCATCCTCTGTACATATGCAGCGGGAGCCGTGGACCCACCTATTACTCTTCGGTTGGTGGCTTAGTCCCTGGGGGCTCTGAGGGGTCCTGTTAGTTGATATTGTTATTCTTCCTATGAGGTTGCAGTCCCTGAAGGGGATGTTTTTAACAACAGCTGTTTCTTCCTCCTAAATATAGGAAGCTCACAGATGGGTGCCACCATCGTGGATGCTTTGGATACCCTTTATATCATGGGGCTTCATGATGAATTCATGGATGGGCAGAGATGGATTGAAGAAAACCTTGATTTCAGTGTGGTGTGTATACTTTGGCAGTTTATCTAATCCCTTAGTTAACTATAAATGTCAGTTTAATGTTCGTACCTGGATATTTGTGTCCTCCTAAATTCATACTACTCACTCATGGAACTAGAAAGGATCTTTGGGAAGTGATCAGTTCATCAGGGCAGAGCTATTATGGATATAATTAGTTCCTTATAATGTAGTTCTCAGGGAACTACTTTGCCTCATACATGAGAAGTCACATAAGTACTATTGTGAATCAGTTAAGTGGCGCTTACCAGTCACAGAATCTGCAGGTGCTGTTGGTCCTGGGCTTTCCAGATTCCAGAAGGTGAGGAATAAATTTCCATAGTTATCAGCTGCATATGGTGAATGCTGTCTTGTTAAAGCAGACCTCATGGGTGAACATAACAGTTGTGGTGCTGTGAGCATGGTCTTAGCAGTTTGTTGAACCCGTGCTAAGTCCTCATTCTTCTTTTGGGATTATCATTTGTTTTGCTACTTTTATGTATATACTCATTTTTTCTCACTATCTTCATATTTCTTGCAATTATTTAAGGTAGTGTCTTAGCCAGATTAAGGACATAATAGCCAGGGGAGAAGCAATAACTAAAGTCTAACAAACTAATAAACTGCTTTATATCATAATGCTTAGTTTATAACATAATAGTAGTGATAGAATAATAGAATACAACTATCATTTATTTATTTATTTATTATTTCTGACTATTGAAGAATTCCTTATTAATGTGACATTTCTGAGAACTAGCCCAGGGAAGCTGTGTGACTGTAAGGCAGGCAGCCTGACTTCTGTTGTGTAGGAGGGAACGGGCCTCACCTCTACAAATCTCCAGGAATCTTTTGACCTCATGCATAATGTTGCAGCCAGTGTGACCACCTGGGTACCTGGATGTCTACGGTAGTGCTGCATGGACATGTGGAGGCCAGTGCTTAATGTTAGTAAAGTCTTCCCTGTGTGCTGATTGCTCTCCACTGTATATATCGAGTCAAGGTCTCTTCACTTGAACCCACAGTTTACCTGTTTGGCTAGTCTGCCTAGCAAGCTTTCTCTGGGGATCCCCTCTCTCCCATCTCTGCCTATTTGCTGGAATTATGTGGAAGACTGCCAGACCTGTTTGTCATTTATAGAAATGTTAGAGATTGGAACTCCAGTCCACATGCTTTCACGGAAGATGTTTTCTGTACTGAGCCACTCCCTTGTCCTAGAAATGTCCTAGTGTCTAAGCCTAAGTATAAGCATTTAGACTCTCTATTTAACATGTTTTATCTATTCCCCAGGGTATCAGACCTCTGGGCCTAGACTTATAGACAGTTGTAAGTTGACATGGGTGCTGAGAATTGAACTCAGGTCCTTTGGAAGAGCAGTCAGTGTTCTTAGCCACTAACTAACTCTCCAGCTTCTGTTCTTTTTAAAGGGTTTTATCTATTGGTGTTTATTATAAAAAAACTTTTTACTATATTTATGTATGTGTGCATACTGCAGTGTGATAAAATAATAGAATGGAGATTGCCAGACAGCTTGTGAGAGGCTGTTCTCTCCTTCCACCTTGAAATTATACAGAATAGTTTGTGTATTATATATGTAAATATTTGTGATAAATTTGCTTAAGTTTGTTTGCCTTTTAGTTTTGTTTATGATCTTTTTTGTAGATAATTTGCATTTTAGTGAAACTTCAAATTCATAATTGATTATAAAAATTTTGATTTTATTCTTCCACATTATCTTCTTTCTTAAGTTTGCCTGTTGTCACATTTTCTACTTCTGTATTTATTTTACTTTTAAAATTTCTATATATCCATTCTTCATTTTGATGTATATGTACTGTGTATATCAACATTGGTTTCCAATAGTATTAGTTTACTAACCATAATTCTACTGGTGTTTGGCATCTCCTTTAGTAATTATTAGGTTATTAGGTACTAGCAAAGTACTAAAAAATCATGAAAAGAGATAGAAATAGAGTTTATGCTATAATAATTAAAATAAACGTAGTAGAATCATTAGGAGTTTTTTTTTTTTTTTTGGATTTGAGATTCATTATTCAGGGAGTTGAGGCCTTCACAAGGGACCAACAATAGTCAGTGGTAGTGAATACTGGAATAACTTCACAGCATTGTGTAGGGTACATCGAATGGTCCATTGATTTTGACAGTTAGGACCCTTTGGTGATAGCAATAGAGGAACTTCTGTGAACTAACAAATTCAGGTCAGGATTTGCAACATGAGAAATAAAAGTGCAGAATATTAAAGCAAGACACATTCTGTCTGAGAACCAAGTGAACTACTAAAAAATAAAACTTGGAAAACTGTAAAGTATTATATGTATGTGTCTATTTTTATTTTGTCTCCACAGAATTCAGAAGTGTCTGTGTTTGAAGTTAACATTCGTTTTATTGGAGGGCTCCTTGCTGCATATTACCTGTCTGGAGAGGAAGTGAGTAGAGTCAAATAATGCTTTGTTTGTTTGTTTGATCAGAGAGTTATGAATAATGTAAAAGGAAACGTTTTTGTAATTTGACTACAACTGAACTAAAGATTTTCTTTTAATATAAATTTTAGAATTTACTTACTGGTTTTTACAAAATTAAAGTTTTGGTTGGGTTTTATAAGCTTAGAGAGTTGACAGATTAATAGTTTTGGCTCTTTTGATTTATGAACTTTTTTTTCCCTTTTAAAATTTTATTTAGGTTTTTGAAAAAAATACTTATGTGTAGGAGTATTACATCTGCATGTGTTTCTGTACACCATGTACCTGCTTGGTACCTGCGGAGGCCAGAAAAGGGCATTGGATCCCCTGGATCTGGGCAAAGACAGACTGTTATGAATTTCCATGTGGATGCTGGGAATTGAACCCAGGTCCTCTGTAAGAGAAGCCAGTGCTCTTAACCATCTGTCCAGCCCCTATTTAACTTATTTTTTTTTAAAGGGTTTTATCTATTGTTATTTCTTATAAAACATTTTTATGATTACACATTAAATTTATTAAATTTAACTTTATGTATATGGAGGTCATAGGACATGTGTGGGGGTCTGGTCTAGATTTTTTTTTAAGCTTCACTAATTCTGGTAGCTCTAAATAGAATAGATTCTTAGGGGTGTTCTTTGTGAAGAATAATATTATTAGTAAAAAGAGTTGACTTATTTTTCTCTGTAGAGAAGAGTATTTTTCTCACCTTAATGCATTCCTAAGATGTCTTTTTATAACGTTTAGTAGCAATTGTCAGAGTAGGTATCCTTGCCTGGCTCTTGATCTTAGGGAGAAATCATTTAGTTTATACTATTATTTATTTATTTATTTATTTATTTATTTATTTTGTTTTTCGAGACAGGGTTTCTCTGTATAGCCCTGGCTGTCCTGGAGCTCACTCTGTAGACCAGGCTGGCCTCGAACTCAGAAATCCGCCTGCCTCTGCCTCCCAAGTGCTGGGATTAAAGGCTGCGCCACCACTGCCCGGCTAGTTTATACTATTAACATAATGTTAGCTTTATTATTATTACTACTATTACTACTATTATTTTGGTAAATACCCTTTATCATCTTGACGATACTCTCTCACAGTCCTAATTTGCTGGACTTTCCCCATTAGGAGTAGATGTTTTGATACCAAATTATTTTGGCATGTAGTAAGATGATTGTATTTTTTAGTTTTTAAACCACATTTACGTTTTTTGATTGATTGATGGGTGTGCATGTGTATGCATGTGTAGCGGTTAGAGAACAGCTTGGAGGAGGTCTGTTCTTTCCTTCTACCCTGTGGGTCCTGAGGATTGGAGTCAGGTAATCACCCTAGTGGCATACATTTTTGTTCTCTGTATACATGTGGAAGCCTGAAGTTAGTGTTGAGTATTGTCTTGCTTGTTCTCGCTTGAGCTCAGAAGTTGTAGATTTGACTAGTTTAGTGAGCCAGCTTGCCCCAGGAAATCCTGTATACACATTGGTATTATATAGGTAGGTTGTCATACCTACTCTGCTTTTTTATTAGGTTCTGAGAATCCAAATTCCAACCCTCATACTTGTACAAACCTGAGCCATCTCTCCAGCCCTCATCTTTTGATATTTTGTCTGTCAGTTTGTATATTTTGCATAAGTAATGCTGGCTTCTTAAAATGAATTGGCACTCTCTTTTTTTTCTGTTAAGATTTGTATAGATTTGATTCTTTTCCTTAAAAGGTAGAATTTCCATGTGAGGTAACTTAAGCTTTAATTCCTCCTACTGTCACATTTTATAACAATAAATTCAAATTATTTGGTAGCTATAACATGGTTCAAAAATAAAATGTGTTTTGTCTTTGCACAGAGCAGTGTATGAGTCTATGTCCATCCTTACACAGTGATGCCCTTTCAGATGTGCCCAGGGGTTGGTCTCATTTTATCACTGGGAAATTGACAGTTAGTGAGTAGAGCAGCTTAGGGAGGTTGCTTTAAACACTGCTGTGAGGATGAAGTTTTGGATCAAGAAGGAATGTGAGGCCCAAGAGTGGGGGAAAATCTAGCTCCCAAAAGCTTTCTGAAGAAGGCCAGCTCTTGGCCTGGGAAGGAGGAAAGCCCAGACTTCCTTGTTGGATGTAGGTTTAAACAGAGAATAGGGTTGAGCAGCAAAACTTACACACTCAGTCCAGAATACTGAAAAATTCTGGGGATCTTAGGGGAACTAAGAGTGTGAGCTATAAGCTCCACCTTTTTCTAGTTCTGAGTAAAAACCTCTTTGCAAGATTAAAATAGAAGTCTAGATCCAGAGCCCAGCTTTGCTCCAGGGCACAGAGGGAAAACACTGAGTAATTGTCCCTCTGGCAGTCAGAGGGGAAGCTAGGCTAGCAGACCAAGAGATCCATACAACCATACTGACCATGCTCAGACTACTTTTGAAGCTCTGTGGCAAGGTCATGGTATAAAATGAAGCCGGGACTAAAATAGAGTTCTGTAAGGTTTAGTTAATAAAATTTAAATCGCTGTTTCTTCTACTCTGTCCTTCTCCTTTGGAACTGTTCCCAGTCTGTTTCAAGGTGAAGGACAGGGCAGAAAGAATGAATCAGGAAATGCTGAGGACAGTAAGTGAGGCTACAGTTGAGACTGATCTAGCTACCCACCTGTAGGCCTTTATTTTTCACAACCCACTTTAACAAGGTTTCAACCTCCCCTCTAGCCCATCACCCAGCAGAAGCAGTGGGAACAAAAGGTTCTTAGGATATGGGGAAGTGGACCTGTTTAGAAATAGTTCTTTGGGGCGATTCCAGTCTTCGTTGTTCTCAGTTCAGTCCACTAGCAAACACCAAACATTCAGCAGCTCCAGTCCAGCCCACTCAGCAGACACCACACACGAATCAGCAAGGGCAGTTCAATCCAGAAGAACTCACCTGAGTCTGCAGCTAGTGACAAGCCACAGGAACCTCAGGAGAAGTTCTTTGGCGAGTTTCTCTCTATGAAGTAAGTCACCACAGGCAAAAGCTCAGCAACACAGTGTAAGGAGAACCAATATGTGCATGTCATCAGCAAAGAAGAGTGAGGTGAGCAAGGCAAACCAAACCAATGCTTGATCTCCCACTGTCTGTGGGGTCATATTTATATTCTTTCTAAACATCATGAGTCCTTTTCCGTGTTCGCTATAGCAAAACATCTTTTCACATGTGTCTGCTTAAGCAAAACATTCTTTCATGTGTCTGCTTTAGCAAAACACCCTTTCACCTGTCTGCCTTTATTCTATGGCAGACATATTATAATTAATATAATCTATTATGTAATTTATTATATTATATTAATTATTTAATGTATTGTCCCTTTCACCTGCCTGTCATTATAACTTGAGTCTCCAAAGAAACCAGAAATTTCACTTTACTCACTCTTATTTACTCTATAGAAAGAGTTTCTTCCTCTCCCTCTGCTGGACACATGGGCCTTGGGGTGAAGACCAGGCAGAGGCAAAAGGAAGAAAGAACAGAGCACTTTCTATTCTTCCTGCTCAAACCTTTGTCAGCAAAGAGTAAGGACATCGAGAAAACTGTAGGAAGACTATAGTGTGGGCATATGAGCTAGTCCAAGAGGAAGAGACCAAGTCTGGTACTCCATGCCAGTGTTTCTCTGAGGGCCTGAGAAATACAGACTGGAAACCATGGAGTGTATGGGTGTGGGGAGGGTGCCCACAGCTCCAAGGACCTGTCTGAGTGTCAGTGAGGAACTGGATTTTTTTTTTTTTTTTTCGAGAGCGAGTTAATAGCTAGGAAAGGGAGGTTTTCACCAAAGCAGTGACTACTTTTGTGATCCTTAGCTGATTGATCACAGTAGCCAAGATTCTGTAGCCTAGGGCCACCCCTCTTATACTGCTTGTGGGATTTTCTCCATGACCATCCTTTCATTTATACTTTTGTGTACAGCCAAGAGGAGCCCCTATGTGTTTGTAGCAGAGCTTGCTTAGCTACATTTTTCTTTAGCATTTGACCCAATAAGATGAAGAGAGAGTACAGATTAGCCAGAAGCATCAACTTGTTTTCATGGGAGCTTCTAGACACAGGGAAATAGATACTCATAGTGCCTTGTTGTTTTAGATTTAAAGAGTGTCTGTGTGTACAGTGTACTCATGTACATAAAATAAATAAATAAATCTTTTAAAAAAAAAAGAGTATCTGTGTGTTGGATTCCCTGGAGCTGGAGTCCTAGCATGAGTTGCCCAACATGAGAACTGAACAGGAGTCTCTAGAAGAACAATATGTTCCATCTCTGAAGCCCTCACTGCCGTTTTTATACAACTGTTAGGATTTCCTGTTTTTCTCATCTGGTTTGTAATTTCTTTTTAAAATATATTTTTAAAATAATTTAAAAATATGCCTACTTTTAAAATACATCTGTGATATTTTAATCTCTATAATTGACTTACCGTTTGTATTGTATGTATATTGTTTAATGTATTAGAGACTATACCCATGACACATTGTATGAGAGAATTTAGTTATGAGCTATACACCAGCCCTCTCACCCCCTTTAAATTTATTTGTGTGTTTTGCATGCATGTATGCATGTATGTGGATCATGTACTTGCATGCCTGGTACCAAGGAGGTCAGAAGATGGTTTTAGATCTTCTGGAACTGGAGTTACTATGATTGTAAATCATCATGTGGGTGATGGGAATGGAACCCAGGTCCTCTGCTGGGAACAAGTACTCTTGACTGCTGAGCTGTCTCTGCAGATTCATACACCAGCCCCTTTACAGATTTTGAGACAAGTCTCACAAAGTTGCTGAGGTCACTAAAACTTTGATCTTTTGCCTTTACCTTCTGAGTAACTGTACTGTAGGTGTATGCAGTCATCTAGCAAAGCTTAAGGGATTCTGTTGGTGGTTTTTGAAAATAGTGGTTCATTGTTCTTTTATATAAAACTGTTTAATCTCTTCTGCTCGATTTTCAGTCAGCAGACCTAACTTCACTTGTATGTGAGAACCTTG